GAACTGAGATTCAAAAAGATTTTGGCGGACTACAACTAGAGGTCTCATCTAATGAGATGAAATTTAGGTCAGAAGAACATCTGGAGAATGGGCCCATGACTTCATTAGTGCAGGGAGCTCCTGGTGAGGAAACTTTCTCTACCAATTCAGCTAAGGACCTTCTCTGTCCCTTCTGGTCTTAAAGAACTGCCTTACAGACTGAGAGGTATAGCCCAGGGTCATACAGTTGGTATATGTCAGAGAGGGGGCTTGAACCCAGGTTTTCCTGGCTTTAAAACAAGCTCTCTATTTACTCTGTCAAGCTATCTCTCAATAGAATATTTGAAAGAGATAAATGAGAAAATCTTACATTTGGGTTAGGGGAGAGAGGAAAGGGAATGAGCATTTTTACAGTGCCTCCTACGTGGCACTATACCAAAAGCTTTGCAAATAATATCTATTTTGGTCCTTACAACAAGCCTAAGAGGTGGGTGGTATTAATATTACTATTTTACAGTTGAGAAAATGGGGACCAATAGAGATTAAGTGAGTTGCCTGGGGTTACACAGCTAATAAATGTCTGAGACTAGATTTGAACTCATGTCTCTCTGACTCTAGGCCTACCACTCTACCCTCTGTGACACATAGCTGCCTCTAATTGGGTGTTTAAAAACTCCACTATACAGGTGCAGGATGAGAGGAACATAATTAGATGATACAGCATGTGGAAAGAAATTGTAGGTTTTAGTGGACTCTATCGATGAGCTAAATTATGACAAAGCCGCAAGAAAACCTAATGAGAGCTCACACTGAATCACTGAGATACAGTGTGAGGGATGTGACAGTCCCCTTATATATTATATATTGATCAGACCTTATATTCTCACCCAAATGCCACATTTTCAAAAGTGCATTGATACTACAGGGAGAAAAGGGGAAGAAGTTGATCCCAAAGAGCAACACTGCCACCCATGGGTAGCATTCATAGGAAAGGAACTGATATTAACTGGGAATGGATATAGGTGTGGGAACCCCATTGTCCCTACCTCCCCAGATAGCATACAGTGGGTAGATTGGATGCGGAGTGGGATGTACACGATTCCAGTTCAGGTCATGGGCCCTGAGCCACTCAGTGACTCACTTATATAGAGTTTTTAGACCAACAGCTGACATAGTGCTAATTTAGGGTACCTTGATCACCAGTGAGCAAAGGCAGTAGGATACCATGGTTTGGATCACTGAAATGTGGGTATTCTCTGAACTGCCTAAAAAAAAGGAATGAGGAGTGTTGCACTTAGCACAATGGCTTACATATAATAGGTGCTTAATAAATGTTTAACGAATGATTGATTGAATGAGGGGCAGGGAGCCAAGAAACAACACTAACTGTGCCAAAATGTAATGGCAGCTGGGAAGGTGGAGCTACCAGGTCTTCAGGTCAGTTACAACAAAGCTTACATACATTCTGGAGACCAAGTTTCACCAGGTCACAGGTACTCTGGACCACATAAAGAAGAGGCTGATCAGAGGGTGAGGGGATTCAAATCCAAGCCATATGAGGATCTATTAAAGGAATGTGGAATGTTTAATGTGAAGATTAAGAGGGGATAGTGGAGCTATCTCCAAGTGTGTGACAGGTTGTTATGTGGAAGAGAAATCATGCTTGCTTGGTCCCAAAAGATAAGACAAGAACAAACAGACACTGGTAAAAGCTCCTAACAATTAGTGCCGTACAAAGTAGGATGGGTCAAAACCCTTGGGGCTGGTGAGTTACCCATCTCTGGAAGTCCTCAAATAAGGGATGAATGTGGCCAAAGGTTTGCTAGGAAGTAGTCTCCTAATTCAGCCTTGTGTTGGACAAGATGACCTCTGAAGGTCCTTCTGATTTTGAGATACTATGATTCAAAGATGAAGATAGTTATAATTGTTAGGTGAATAGATTCTGAAGGCTTAATGATATTAAACATGAAAACAATATGCTCCCCTTCATGCATGAAGACATTGCTGCTAACTCTTTGTGAATAATTCATACTCTTTGGTTACTTTTTTCTTAATAGCAGTGATAGATTTTTACTGAGTGTGTCATCCACACTTGTGCCTCGGCAAATGTGAGATGTCTGGTCAGCCTTAAGGCAGGGTGGTCTGTAGCAATGAACCTGAATTTTCCTCTGTGGTGAAATCAACTGACCTATGGGATTCAAAATCAAAGTCTTGGTTTAATTAGAATCTGGATCTACTATATTAATAACTAAAAAAAAATTTCCCTTTAAATTCTGGTCAATCACAGCGAAATTGTAGGCCACACCTTTAATGTCAAATTTTCCAAAGGTTTGCACAATGAACACCTGAAAAAAAACCCAACCTCATAAATATGCCCTGAGTAAAGTGTACATGCAACTACCTGTTTATGTTTGCAATGACTTAATTTATACATGAAAAATCCATATGAATGCCCTGATTTAGAAATAGGTTAGCACAAGAAAAGCACACATGTTTTTAGCTGCAACTAGAGCAGATGCTAATAAATATTAGGTCTTCAGTTTTAGTTCAGTGTAACTTTTTTGCGGAGAAAAGAAAGATGTTAGGTGTTAGATCTGATGCATTCACTATTCCAAGAAAGAAAAAAAATGACTAATCACAGCATAGTAGTTATTAACCTTATTAATGCATGAAAACTGGCAAAAGGGAACGATAACTATCAATGCAGAACTGCATAATTTGACCTTTAAAAGATGCTGCAAGATAGGAACATTTCCTTAGCCTACAAAATTTATAATGATAGGAAAATAAATTTAAAATGATATATTTCAATTGGAGAGGTCACCATCTTCCCATCTGGGAGGCCTGGTTTTTCTTGGATGTTAGGCTTTCAAGAGACCTTCTTGGGAAAAAGAGGTGACAGCCAACTCATTGCCTAATTGATTTAGGAATAGTGCCCAGGGAGATAGTCCAATTAAGTCTACAAGCCGGCAATTAGCAAGAAGGCCTCTAAATCCCTGCACTGAGAGCTTGTTTGCTTTAGTAAGGACATAAATGTGCTAGAGATAGGCAGGGAGAGCTGGGCTTTCGGGAAAGCTGCTGAGTAGTCCCACAAGGGAGAACTGAAGAAAAGCTAGGTATACTGGGCAGGGAGCCTTCTGCTTAATAGTTAACTGGGTCATTTAGATGATGTATTTTTTTTTTATAACAGACAACATGTAAAACAGCAAACATCCACTTTAGTGTTGAATGTGGAGACATACAACTGTAAAATCTGTTGTTGGGCAAAGTGGGGCAGGATTATTTATCTTATGATAAGTGACAGTCTACACATTTTTTAACCTTTCAACATTCTTCTGGACAATAATGACATTTTGGGTATATTCAGGTATGTTTCTATTACTTGGAAAGACAGTACTCCAACTTCAATACAGTAAATCTGTTGACTAATAGATAATTGTTTTTCAGCTCAATTGAGATGCTACAGGTAAACGCTTAGCAAATTTTAAAAGTGCTATGTAAATGTTAGCTATTATTATTATTTTAGGTTAATAGAGTCAGATGAATTAATTTAATTTCAGGAGCTAAAAATAATTGTCATATTGCCTAAGTCACTATCTATTTTTGTGTGAATTGGCAATGATTTAATCTATGAGATAGAGTCATAAAACTATTTGTAAAAAAAGGAGCTTTTTCAGAATTTAAAAATATGCTTCCTTTCTATTTGCAACTGACCATAACATGAATAATCATCATGCCATTTGTGCATTTAAAAGAGAAGTTAGGAAAGATTTTTCTCAATAGTGGAGGTAAGTGGTACAGTGGATAGAATGTTGGGCCTTGGATCAAAAGACCTGAGTTCAAACCTAGCCTCAGATACTTACTAGTCATGTGACCCTAGGCAAGTCACTCGACCTTTATTTGCCTCAGTTTCCTCTACTGTAAAATGGAAACAATAATTATAGCACAAATGAGATAATATTTATAGAAGTACAATGCACACTGCTGGCACACAGCAAGTCTATATAATTATCCCTTTTTCTTATGCTTATTTACGTCTCTCACTTTGGGTTTTATCATGTATTCTTCAGCATTGATACTTGACAGCACCATAGTACTGAATTGGAAGTCAAAAGGCCTGGCTCTAAATACTGACTTGATAAACTATCTTAGGTAAATCACATAATCTTTCTGAGCCTATGTCTTCATCTATGTAATAAAAAAGGACTAGAAGCTCTCTAAAGGTCTTTACTTTAGTTTAGGTCATAGACCTTTGAAGGTCTATGGAAAAGAGTCCTGACTTGGAGTCGGAAGAGACCTAAATTCAAATCCTCACTAGAACACTAGCAGTGTGATATAAGTAAGTTACTTTTCTCTGAGCCTCAATTTTCTTATCTGCAAAATGGGGATAATTTTCTATTCTACTTCACGGAGTTTTCATGAGAATCAAATGAGATAATGTATGGAAAGTGCTCTGCAGGCTTTAAATTACTACATAAATGTCAGTCATTGTTATTGTTGTTGTTTAAATGTTAAGTGATCCAGCAGAGGTTTCCAGTATACTGAGGGTATCTGAGAGGATATGAGAAGAATTACACAGGATGAGAAAATATGGATGATTTACAATCTGTATAAATGGGTAGAAAACTGATATTTATTAAGTTACAGATCCATCAAAATATTAATGTATTCTCAGTAAAGATTTTTTTTTGAAATTAATACATTTATAATTATTTTAAAAATTCAAGGCATTTTTGGTTAGGATGCTTTGTTGAGAATTGTATTCATTTCATTTTTGAACATTCAGGAATTCTGATTATGGCCAAACACAAAACAATGTTATTTTTTGTGATTAAATGTCTGAAGTTCCTGTCAGGATATTAATGAGATAATCGTGATATGGAAACCACATGTAGAAAGGATAAAGCCTAGACTGATTTGATCAAAAAGTGAATGTGTTATGGGAATAGTTTCGTGCCCTTAATTCTAACATCAGTAATAGAAAAACTTTAATTCATAACTTATCCTTTTCTTTTACTCACCTAGTTTAAACAGAAGTACACCTAGTGGCCCTCTGTCAAACCTGAGGAACAGGAGATCATGAACGTCAGTACCGTGGGGAGTGTGAGGAACAAACTGAGGAACTGTCCACTGCATTTGAATTAGGTTACTGGAGACATCAAAATGTTTATTAAGTTGCAGTGTCTTCCTTGGGGAGCAGTCTTCTGCCAAAAGCTGTACTTTAACAGGCGACAGTGCTATGTCAAAAACCTGCAGATCCCCTTGGGAACTTCCAACCAGTAGGACGGCCCCGCCTGGGTGGCAACTAATGACTGTAGGCAAAATTTCAGCCTGAGCCAACAGAGTCACTCTTCGGTGGGCTTCATAGAGAATGATTGAAGAATCTTCACAGCCTAGAATTAGTTTGTCTTCAGCAACATTCCTGCAGCAGCTGATGGCCTTTGATTGTAGTGGTATTCTGGTGACTGTTACACAGTGGATTTTGTTCCGAACACACTCATAAATGCAGCTGTCAGCCATGGGCTCTTTGTCTACACTGATGGAGTGCTCTACTGTGTGCACCTGATAAGGCTGATTAGTGCTAAAGCTAGCATCAAGTGGATTCCATTCTGTACGGATGAAACTCAGAACCTGTATGAAAAAAAAAAGTATATTCAGACAAACATTTATTTTCTTCTTTCATTGCATAATGTGCTGTATATTAACTACTGTGCTAGCATCTTATTAGAAACCATTTACTTCCCAATGTGAACTCAGCAATACAAAATTTAAACATAAAAATAAAATAGCAGCAGGAATAGAATTTATCTTTAAAAGTATTGGTTTAAACTTTTTTGGAGGGTTTATGAAAAACATAAAACAAAAAGACCTCAACAAATACCTATGTACTACATGAATGACATAACTAAATAGTCTAAATATGACTTAATTTTTTTAGGCAAAAGAAATAGAAGGGGTACCAAAACTTCCAATAATATTTGTTTGGAGGAAAAAGATAGACCCAGAAAGGTTAAATAATTTGCCTGAAGGCACATAGGTAGTAAGCTTCAGAGGTGGGATTTGAACCCAGGTCCTCTGAGTCAAGAGCTAGTGTTCTTTCCACTGTACCACACTGCTTCCCATTATCACACTTATTATCAAACAAGTGAGTATACATAGTAATGATTATTTGGGATAAGTAGGGAAGAGATCATTTGTTTAGATTAGAACATCATTCTCTGGGCACTGTAAATATGATGCTATAAAGCTTCAGTGGAATTTTTTTTTCTCCTGGGGGCTGGTAATGATGGTGGTGGTGGCAGTGGTACAGTGAAGAGCTCAAGAAAAGAAAGCATACAGGATGCTAGAAAATGCCCATCAATCAACCAATTAATCAGTCATTAATCAATCAACAAAGTTATTAGGTATCTACTATGTAGGAACTAGGGATACAAAGTCCAAAAAACATAGTCTCCGTTTTCTCCCTCTTCTCCCTCCCCAGGCCAGACCTGGCCACACCCATTTGAGGTTTGGAGAGGGAAGGTGTTTCCCTAGAAGAAGAGTTCCATGGTGGTATGACCCTAGAGAAGACTCATAAGGGAACTGGGTAAAGTCACATAACACAGGTAGGTGGAGGACCACAAAGCATGAAGCTCTCAGGAAGATGATCTGTCTTCATTCCCCACACTCCCTATTGCTCAGGAAGGAAGCTTGCCACCCTGAATGTCAATGCCCTGAGGCAAAGACTCTACCCTATTAGTCATCAATGATAATCACTTGTTTTTAAAATAACAAAAAAATTATAGGCTAAGACCTACTGACTATTGTACGCTGATGATATTGGTGACACAGGAAATTTTTAAAAAATACTTTAGTAACAAAAGGAAAAAACTACTTAGCATGATGGAGGGAAAAAAGCATTGGACTCAAAGTTACACGATCCAGGTTGCAGGCTTGGAGTGAATCAGCCATGTAACTCAGGAAACTATTTAATTCCTTTTAGTGTCTGTTTCCTTGTCTGGGGGAAAAATCTTTCTCTGCTTATTTCATAGTTTGGTATGGATCAAAGAAAATGATGTAAAAGCACTCTGTAAACAATCATCCTCAAAACAAGAAAGAACAAAAATATAACAAAGGAAGAATGAGATGGTAACTCACATTTAGATAGCACTTAGAGACTGATGAAGAACTTTTCCTACAATAACCATGTCAGATAGGTAATAAATGATAATTCGTATATGCCCAGCACTTAAGTTTGTAACATACCTTTCTCCCAATAACCCTATGAAGTAGATAGTGCAAATATTATTATTCCAGTTTTTCAGAGGAGGAAGCTGAGGCACAGGGAACTAGTGATGTCACATGGCTAGCTAAATTTGGGATGGATTTGAACTATGGTTTCCTAAAATGAGGTCCAATGTTCTTTCCTCTATACCATGCTGCCTCTCAGTAAAATAACATTCTAAGAATATGGACATTCATTTTAATCACATATATACATATATGTAAGTGCATACATATATACATTATATACACACATGTGTATTTTATACACACATATAATACATATTATATACACATATACATACACACATACATATATATCTACATATCTACATACACACATACATATATACATATATACATACACACACATACATATATATATATATATATATATATATATAAACATCATTGAACAAAACTCAAAACTAAAAATAAAGGTAGGAACAAAAATATCTCTATTATTGAAATGGATGTGTCCCAATGACAGACATCTTGGTCAGAAACTTCATAATCAGAGGCCAAAATAATATGAAAGGTATGCAGTCATGTGAGAAGATGAATTAGACTTGTTAGGCATAGCCTAGGACAAATGGATGGGAAATTACAGGGAGGCTCAATATAGGAAAACCATCCTAATAATAAGCACTATTTAAAAGTGGAATGGCTGTATCAAGTTCCTTGTCATTGGAGGTTTTCTTTCATCTTCCTTCCTTCCTTCCTTCCTTCCTTCCTTCCTTCCTTCCTTCCTTCCTTCCTTCCTTCCTTTCTTTCTTTCTTTCTTTCTTTCTTTCTTTCTTTCTTTCTTTCTTTCTTTCTTTTCTTTCTTTCTTTCTTTCTTTCTTTCTTTCTTTCTTTCTTTCTCCTTTTTTTGCAATTGGGGTTAAATGACTTGCCCAGGGTCTCACAGCTAGTAAGTGTCAAGTATTTGGTCTGAGGCCAGATTTGAACTCAGGTCCTCCTGACTTCAGGGCCAGTGCTCTAACCACTGCATCACTTAGCTGTCCCTCTTTCATATTTTTTTAAATGGTGTTGCTTTTCTAAGCTGTAGTACATGATTGTGATGAAATATCATTGTGCTATAAGTAATGACAAGCAGAATTGTTTCAGAAAAATATGGACTAACACGAACTGATGCAAAGTGAAGTGAGCAGAACCATGAGAGTATTGTACACAGTAATAACAATATTGCACAGTGAAGAACTGTGAATGATTTAACAATTCTTGGCAACACAATGATCCAAGACAATTCCAAAGGACTCACAATGAATCATGTTATTTGCCTCCAGAGAAAGAATCGATACTGTTTGAATATAGTCTGAAACATACTGCTTCCCTCTCTCTCTTTCTCTCTCTATCTCTGTCTGTCTCTGTCTCTTTGTCTCTCTCATCTTCTTGTGCAAAATGCTTAATATGGAAATATTTTACATGATTTCACATGTATAATCTATATTAGATTGTTTACTGTCTGGGGGGGAATGGGAGGGAGGAAGGGAAGGACCTTGGAACTCAAAACTTTAAAAAATGTAAAAGAAAGTTTTAACATGTAATTGGGGAAAAAATAAAATATTCAAAAAAATTCTGAACTTAAAACCAAATAAGGTGAACATTTCCATATACAAAGAATAGAAAAAAAGACTATATATGAAACCGTGAATATTTTATGAACAATGAGCTTTTCTAATACATTCAACATGTTATCCCCAAAGCTGTCTTACTTGACTGTATTTTCTATTGACTTTTGTTCTTTTTCTTCTACACATTTTTATTTTCACTTTTGGAGTCCCTTTTCTCCACAAATTGGAAAAAAAAATAAAACTTTTGGATCTGATCTGCAGAGTTAAGCAAAACAAATTCCACATTGGACATACATTCTTAAATACACATTCTAGAAATGTATGTATTGTTCTGCACCTTGAGTTCATCACCTCTCTGTCAGGAGGTGGGTAACATGTTTTATCTTGTCTTTTGAAACCATAGTTGGTCATTATATTGATCCGAGGTCTTAGGTCTCTCAAAGTTGCTTTCCTTTAAAAAAAAGTCATTGTTACTAAATAAATTCTTCTTCTGCTCACTTCATTCTGCATCAGTTCATACGAATCTACCCAGGTTTCTCTGAAACTATCCCTTTCATCATTTTTTATGATACAATAAAATTCCATTACATTTATACACCACAATTTGTTCCACCATTTCCTTAAATTAGTTCCCCAATCTTTGCCACCACAGAAAGAGGTCCTATAAATGTTTTTGTACATATGGGTCATTTTCCTTTTTTTTTTAAATCTCTTTGGGGGTACAGGCCTAGTAGTAGTATCATTGAGTCAATGGGTACGCAGCAACTTAGTGACCACTTTGGTTAGAGTTCCAAATTGCTTTCTACAAATGCACTGTTCCACCAGCATTGTATTAATTTGTCTACTTTTCCTTAGTGTGTACAATTGCTATTTTCTTTTTGTCATTCTTGCCCAGGTTATAAGTATGAGGTAGAATATGATCGCTGTTTTAATTTGCATTTATCTTGCCATTCGTGATTTGGATCATTTTTTCATCATTATTGATTGCTTCATTAGATACTTGCTCACTCATCTCCTTTGTCCATCTCAATGCAGATTTTTAAGAGGAGATGGATGACCACTTTTGGGGAACTCTACAGAGGAGATTCTTCTTTCAAGGCTGAGTTGGAGTAGATGACCTCTGAGGTCTCCTCCAACTCTAAGATCTAAGACTTTGATTCAAAAATAAATTTTTGTATCTAATATATAGAAGATGAATTATAGGGCATCTTACACACACCTCCTCTCTGCACATTAATGCCTGATAAATCTGCCATCACATGACCCTGCTCAAAAGTCTTCAATGACTCCCTGCTGCCTACTAAATAAAATCTAAACTCTTGTGCCTTCCATTTAAGGCCTTTCATGACTTGACCAACCTATCTTTCCAATTTCATCTCCTTTGACTTCCCTAAACATACATTATACTCCAGCCAAATGAGATCACTTGTTGCCCAAACACACTGCAGATTTCCCACCTCCACATATTTGTTCATATTGTTGCCTCTGATCGGAAAGCCCTTTCTCTCCCTCCTTTGTGAAATCACATGGATCCATTAAAAGAAAGTACAAATACCACTTCTTCTCTGAAGCCTTGCTTGATCCTTAAGTCAAAAGTGATCTCTCTGTTTTCTGAATTTCTATAATGTTTTCTACCTTTCTTATGAAATTTAGACCTTTACTGCAGAATAACTATTTGTGTTGTACTCTTATCATCCTTAATAGACTACAAATGCCTTCAAGGTGCAATCTTGGTAAACCTCACAGGAACTAGCATACTGCCTTTGATATAACAGGCATTCAATAAATATG